ACCTAATATGCACTGCCAGACTCGCTTCTCCTGACTACAGTGTATACCGGCAGTAGCCCTCGGCGGATTATGCTGGTATAATTTCTGGCATAATCTTCGGGTTTTTTTTTCAAATTATGCCCTGGAAAAAGAGAACTTCTTGGACCAGACGTCAGACGATCGGCATAACCTTACGATGCCGGCTGAAGGTTAATGCCCCAGGCATATATTTAAAGCATGTTACGCGAAATAACCTGGTGAATGTCACCCCTTATAAGCCGTGCTGTCATGGTGCCAGAGTCGTTGTAACGTTGCAAAGTGCAATAAGAGTGTATAGCACTATCATTGGCATAATTCCAGCTTAACGTAGCATAATCACTGGCATAGTTTGGGCATAATGGAAAGCGTAATTCAGCAATTTACCGAGCATAATCCGCCAAGGGCTGCAGGGTAGTGTCACTCCCCCCCCCCTCCCTAATCTGGGCAGGTCGGACTGAGCGCTGCCCGTACCCTAGGCCTAGCTTGGCGGATACTGCCGGCAGGAAAGAGTGCAGAAAAGGTACTGTTTCTGGTGTATTTCTGGTGTGTTTCAGGCATGTACATGTATGGTACACGTACACGTACACGTACATGTACATGTACGTGTACGTGTACGTGTACGTGTACGTGTACGTGTACGTGTACGTGTACGTGTACGTGTACCATACATGCACATGCACATGTAAGTGTGCATGTGCATGTTTGTGGGTGAAGAAGTTGAGCAGAATTCAAGCAAGTGCCTGCGATAATGGTTGTTTGATTCTGCCAGTTTCACTGCTTATGGAGCAGAATTTGCGACTTTTTCGAACATACAACCCTTATGGCAGTCATATCCTTGATTTCTGCTCCATTTCTCTCGGGACTTGGTGATCACCAACCGACCACGCCTCGTGCACTCAATTGATCAAGCACCTCCCTTGGGTATGTCTGACCATATACAGATTGTTTGCACTTTCTGTTCCGCCCCTATTTCGAACTACTTCCCCAACTCTTCCACTGGTCCTCCCTCTTCACTGTATCGCTTCAAACAAGTACCTTCGCACCTTTGGCAATTAATTAACGCTGATTTAGCTGGCTACAACTGGTCCTCTCTGAACTCGTACACTGATGTTAATGACGCACTTCATCACTTTGATTGTGAGCTCCAGTCCGCCTTCCGTCGTCACCTCACCTCATTCGGAGCCACCCACACTGTGACATCTCCACGACCCCGCATGCAATCTCCACCATGGGTTACTGCTGAGCTCAGGTCTGCTGTAAAACGCAAGCGTGATCTATATAGTGTGTACAAAAAATATCCGACAGCAGTAAATCACGCAGCTTATAACCGACAAAGGAATGCTGTAAAGCACCTGTCTCGGCAAGCACATCGTCAATATAATACGCTCCATCCAAGCATCACTAACGTCACCGAATCGACCTACACTCTTTCAGTTTGTGCGAGCACAGCGGCACACTTCCGGCCGTGTCATGCCCCAAACGATGATAGCATCCGACGGTACGGTCGCCACGTCCCCCAAGAGCATAGCTGATGTTCTGAACACTCAGTTCACCTCATTTGGGCTACCTGATGATCCTTCGTGGCGCATTCCCCCTTTGTCCCAGTTGCCTTTCATAATCTGTTCCGTTCCGTACAATCACTGTCACTACGTTTCAAGTTCGGAAATATCTGAAGCGCCTGAAATGTGGAAAGTCTCCCGGCTCAGATGGGATCTGCTGCAGTCTCTTGCACCATCAATAGCCTATCCTCTCACCATTTTTTAATAATGTCATTTCGAACTGGTACATTCCCACAGGATTGGAAATCCGCCATCGTGACACCACTTTACAAGAATAAAGGCTCCCGTGCTTGCCCGGCAAACTACCGCCCCATCTCTCTCCTGCGCACAGTTTCCAAACTTTGTGAGCGTATTGTATTCGATTCCCTCTACCTGCACATCGCTCCAGCTCTCTCACCAGCTCAGTCGGGATTCTGCCGTGGTGACTCAACTCAATACCAGGTGACTCGACTTGTCCAAGACATAGCGACAAAGAGGAACTGTGGGGAGCACGTGGGAATGGTGTTTTTCGACTTGGCTAAGGCATTCGACACCGTTTGGCATCGTGGCTTACTTGCCAAGTTGGAGGTCACCTTCCGGGTGGAGGATGCTGCCTTGCGTTGGATATCCTCGTATCTGTCTGCTCGTTCTCAGGCTGTTCGCTTGTCCTGTTTCTTGTCTGATCCCCTCCCTGTAACGTCTGAAGTGCCCCAAGGTTCCATTCTGGGTCCTTTGTTATTCTTGCTTTACGTTAATAACCTACCTTCAGTTGTCTCCGATGTTAGTTTGTATGCGGATGACACTGGCCTTATCTGTTCTGATTCCTCCCCTGCACAATTACTCCTTACCATGCAGCATCGCATCAACAGCACTATCATGTGGATGCAAACGTGGAAACTCCAGCCCAATTTAGACAAGACAGAAGTCATGTATATTTCTTCATCCCCTCCTGATCAACCATTATACTTTCCTGACTCGACTATGCCTATCCGTGTTGTTACTCAACACAAACATCTAGGTGTGATGCTTGACTGCAAACTCTCTTGGGTTGCACATGTCAACTGTGTATGCAAGCGAACCAGTTCAGCATTAGGGGTACTACAACCACATTGCACTCATTTGCCCATCCAGTGTAAACTATTATTTTATCAGTGCTATATTCTCCCCATATTCGACTATTGCGATACCGCTTGGTGTGGCCTTTCTGACACAACTCTGAACCAATTAGAAGTCCACCATAGATTTATACTTAAAATTCTTTACAACAAGGATCGATGTTTTCCATCGGATGCCCTTTATCGACTTGCACACACTTCTCCTCTCTCCGTTCGTCATAAGCACCATCTCTGTACACTGGTTCATAAAATATTTATTCATAAAACCCCTTCACACATGATGAAGTACAATTGGTTTTCGACAAGCTCAACCCGTAACGCGCTCATCCTGCCTCTTGTTAAGTCAGCCCAGTGTCTAAAGTCCCCTTTGTTTTCCGGCTACTCTCATTGGTTATCATTACCATACGGTCTGAAAACTTGTTCTTCTATTGGTCAGTTTAAAGATCTACTATCACAACTGACCTAGACGCAATAATTATCATCGAAGAACATTCTCGAATACCTGGGTGATGCACGAATTTTGATAGTGTTCACTTCCGTTAATCGTTTTTCTTTGCAATTTTCCATTCATTTTCTGCTTTAATTCATATTTGCTTTGTTTTCCTAGCTTACTATTGCCGTGGCTGGCTCAACGCCCTTGTCTCAGGGGATTCTGTCCCTGCATTAGCTATGCTTGTCACATGCTATGAGATTGTGTCTAATAATAATAATAAATTCTTTATCCACATACGAAACATTTTTTATTTTTTTTATTTTACTAGAGCCACGTAAACCCGTCATGTGTGAGCCATGAATAAGGGGAGTGGTGGCGTGGTCTGGCATGAAACATACCAGAAAGAGTAACAAATTCTGCCAATCCTTATGCCGGTGTTTATTATCTGCCATTAGCCCTTTCCCAAAGGTGCTCTTTTAACTCTTTTTTCAGTGAAAACAGGCAAAAAGTGCTCTTTTTCAGTGAAGCATAGCCGTGATACATGTTCAGATATGAACCTGAGCTGAGAAACGAATACGCATTTTTACATTATG